AGGACCTGGCCCTGAGCTTTGTTGACCCTCAACCTTTTCTCAGAGATCAGACGAAGGATCTCAGTTTTGCGCTAAGGACAAAGGATGTTCCCAACTGAAATTTCTATATCAAAGCATTTCTTCCTGTTCAAATTGCAGAGCTGCAAATCGGTAAGTATTTGGGCTGATGTACACAAGTAGCGTCTCTGAGTTTGGTGAGAGATGAGCGTGGGTTTGGCAGAACCAAGGCTTTCGAGTGGGCACTGAACTTCAGTCTCCCTTTGGCCAGAGTAAAATCCCAATCCATAGGATTTTCATGGGGTTTTTTTGTGTTCTAAAAGCACATGCTATTCATTAAATGGATTTTGTTTTGGATCAAGTGACTGTCAGCTGCCCACTTGATTTTCTCATGATGTTTTTTCACCAAAATCAACATACTGCTGAATCCAGTAATTGCTGTGGAGCCAGCGCCTGTGTTTTCAAAGCAGTGATTTTTATTATGAAATTGAACATGCTAAACAACACTTACACCTAATTCTAAAGCATATCAATAAACCATGTCCTTTGTGCTCATTATCTTCACCGCAGTACCTTCTTATTTTACAGTTGGATACATTTACTTGAATATTTATGCAAACTAACCAATCTGTAATGAAATCACTGTTAAGTTATTAAATCGTGCTGGTTTTCCTTCAAGCGTTGCAAATTACCCAAAATTAACTCATTTAAATATAGTATTATCGGTCCAGGTATCTGCTCTGGCTTTTTCTGGACACAGTAGGTGTGCTTTGGAACAAATAACACATCTTCGGAGAGCAGTGGTTTTCGGTTGTAACCAGGATGCACTTTTTGTGGCTGGACTGCTTTAAATAAAACTAATGATGTAGTTGACTGAAACTCACTTTTAGGAAATGGAAACGTTGAAATGTAAGGCAAGCGGAGTTTAAAATCCCGGTCTATTCTCTCTCAGGTAGTCTGATGTTTTGGCGGTATTCTCCGTGCGGTAGAGTAAATCGCGGCAGTGGGGAAATGGGCCAAACGCAGTTGATAGAGTTGTTCTGTTGATTACCTTTTCGTAGTAAAAATCCAGGAGCTTGTTAAAATACCAGCCTTAAGCTCCCGTAAGCTGCCAGTGTTGGCCTAAATTTGGGCACGTGGCTTGCTGAATAGCAGTTTATTGTGAAAAGTCAAATAATCTTCATGTAAGCCCATGCAAATCTCATAAGCCAGCTCCATTAGAATGTGCTCTGTACTCCATGTACCAGTATGTGGGAATTTGTAGTAGTAAGCTTTATTATCTTTGTTGCTTTATGCTGGTACTAAGAGAAATCTACATTTTCTCCATAAAGAATATTCCTTGTCTCCCCGGAATTGATGCATTGTAATTTCTGTTATGCAGTATTACACAGCCGTGGTTGTGACTTCTCCTAGGGCAAGAAGTAGTTTCTTTCTATATCTTATTAAATGAAACCTTCTGAATTGTCACCTTTCTATGAATACCAAGAATATTTTGTTGGAAACTGGACACACTGGGCATGTACAATGAGGGATGTAGGATGGTGGAACCCTGTAGTGCTAGGACGGGTCCCGCACAGCATTAGTCTAGTCTGCCATTTAATCCCGCTAAAAAGCCTGTACTCAGCTTGTCTTTATCTTGTGTATTTAAATAAATTTTCAGGAATATGCTCTGCTTCTGTGTCCTTGGGATTTTGGCCCAGCACAATTCTGCTCAGCTGATGCTAACTGGGATTGTATACTGGACAGAGCCGGGCTTGGTGACAGCAGCCACTGAGCTGAGTTAGAGCAATGCATTTATTTTTTTGGTGAATGAGAAAGGTGCTCGATGTCTTTCCAAGCGGTGAGCAGGAGGCTCAGAGGCACAGATTTTACTGTTGCTGAATTTGCATTTGCAGCTGCCGCTTTTCTGCTCCTCCGGCGTGCGTTCGCTGCAGCAGCACAGGGACGCTTCGTGTTGGGTTCTGAGCATCCCAATTCCAGCTCGGCTGTTCAAAGAAAATCCAAACTCTTGCCATAGATCCGTAATGAGACGTGTTTCAAAGTCACAACTTGTTAGGAAAAATTATCAGCTTATATGCTGATAATTCACCTGATTAATCCAGGATTTTTAAAGGCGTAAATGAAGGCTAGGCTTTCAGTTGCTGCTGGCTTGGCTTGTCGAGCACGCTCTGAAAGACAAGAGGTATTGCTGGGGCACAAGGCCTGCTTTTCTGGGCCTTGCCAGAGGTATCCTGGGGCATCCACGCCTGGGCTGGACAGCAGAAAACTGCGACTTCATCACTGACAGGGGAGAGTTACAACATCTGAGTTAGTGGGGGAGAAGGATAAAAGACATAGCGTGAGAAAGAGGGGATTGAGAATAGCAGAGAACCTGAGGGAAAGAAGAAAAGGGCTGGGTGAGGGGGGAAAAAAAGCCGTGTTTAAACCATTTTCTTTCATAAAGCAGCAGCTTGGGGCCCTCCAGCCGCTGATGCTCTCTCCACAGTAGGTATCACTTCCATTGCAGGGCACTTATTCACCGTGGGATCTTCCTGCAAGTCCCACTTTCCCACAGAAAGATGCTGTGGGGAATTATATGATGAAATGAGCTTCCTTTTTGCAAGCTGAAATGGGTCAGAAATGGCTGGAGTGCTGCAGGGAGCTGGAAGGGTTCACGTGGTTCAGGAAAGCATTAAGCCATCAGCGTGGGTATTTAGGAAAGAGCACTTCTATGTACAGCAGAACAAGATGGCAGATTCATTCCTGTTTATTCTTGTCTTCTTACTGCTGCTATGTCCCAAAGGAAATATATTTTATGTGATATATCTGAAGTCTGTTACCACAAAAGGTTTAAAAAAAAACGGTTTCCAGAAAAGCGAAATGTAAAATTAAAGCCCCGTGTTGTTACAGCCGTGCCCCCAACCAGAGCAGAATCGCGTCGCTGCGCCTCTCTGCAGTCAGTCCTGTCCCCAGAGTGGTGTTATGCTGGGTTTGCCGCTTCGGGTTGTCACCAGAGAGCACTGGCTCCATCAGTCCCCATCTCAGCTGGCAGCTCGCGCTCAGGAGATCCCAGCGAGAAGCAGAAAGTGCTAATGGGAATGGAATGGAAGTGGTTTGGCAAGGGAACCGTAAGGGCTCTCTGCGGCATCCTCAGCTCTGGCCAGAGGTGCTGCGTAACAGGAGGAGCACAAATGACAAAACCTGAAAGGGAGGAATTGCTCCTCAAAAAAAAAAAAGGAAGAAAAAGAAAACAAAAATAAGAATGAGGACATTTTAGTAGTAGCGGTGAGAGCCACCGCAGATGAGAGAGTCTCGCTCTTTAACAAACAGAGCACAAACCTGAATCCTTTTAGGCTCCCCGCGGCTCTTCCCAAGGAGTTAGCCTGGGCAAGGGCTGAACAACACCTCGCTTTCCTGCGTACCAGGTAAACAGAAACAGTGTTCAGGTCACACAGCAGCGAGCGATTCCTTCACTTGCCAAAAAAGAAAGCGCAACGCAAATAGAAATTGCAGCTAACATTGCTGGAGCCTCGCAGTCTTACCAGGGTATCAAATACCTCCCTTGCCATTATATTTTGTCATTAACTTCATATTGCAATGAAAAAGATTATGGAAAAGTGTCTAATATTTGTATGTTGTCTGATAATTAAATGTTGCAAAGATGCGTCAGCTCATTACTGATCATAATTAAAATAGTTATTTCCATTTTCAGCTCAGACATGTGTGTAATTAAATGTACCTGGGAAAGAATTGCCTATTTTATCGAAATAATTAACAGCTATTGTTGCGGTGCTGGGTGCTGACCTCACACGGGGTCAGAGCACTGCTAATTCCCTCCGCTCCTGCAGGCAGGCCAGCAGGCAGCATCGGCTCCGAGCTGTGGGATCAGCCGGGACAGAGGGGCTCATCTCTGCAGGAGGGAGAAGGGTTTGTAGGTGATGGGAGCTGAGGGTCTGGCTCATTGATTGAATGTTTGAAGAGAAAAGTCAATAATCACAAGTGGGCAGTAGCTGGAAAGCAGAGCTTGGTCTTCGTGAGCCAAGGAGCTTGCACAAGCAGGCTAGCGTGAACAAGGAGAGAGGGAAAAAGCTCACGGGACAGAAGGAGACTTAAATGGAGCAGAGCCTGCTCCAAACTTTCCACACACTTCTGCACCAACTTTCCACCCACTGCTTCGCTTCAGAATAGGCCCAGAGGAGAACCAGTTTGGTTGACCGTGCATGGGAACCTCGAGGTAGGACATGGGGAACAGTCTGCTCTTTTCTTTGCAGGCACTTTTAGTATCTGAAGACTTCTGTCGTCCTTTCAGACATCTGAAGGACAATTTAATCTAAGTCCTTTAGCTTTGTTCCAGTTTGGTGACTGGGGAACCGGCAGTAAGGGACTAAGTAGGCTTTGGTTTGGATAGGAAGAAGAAAACAAAGGCGGATTATGAAAATATTGGAAGAAGTTCCTGCATCTTGGGAAGCTTTCCTGCCTCTCCAGCCATCGTGGGTTTGGCTGTAACTGCTTTCACTTACCTGAGCATGTCTCATTGTGCTTTTCTAACCCATGATTGAATGAAAGGCAAAGAGTCCAAGGGGACGGTTTTTGATATTCCTTATGTCAGGGTAAAAGACAAGGAGATGTATTAATAAGCCCACACTTTCCAAACGCTTTTAAAAGATTTTTATCTGTAACACAGTTGCTGAACTAGCACCTTCTGACTGTACGTATGCTTCGTACCCAGAGAGGGTACTTAGAACGGCGCCTTTACGGTACAATCTGAGGATTGTCCCAAGGCAATTGTTTATATTGTGTGCTGCTGTGACACTTACGTGTAGACGGGTGCCTTCCAAAGGATGTGGACGTCGGCTGTTTCCCTGTGCTCATCAGTAGAGCCAGTGCTCTGTCTGCAACCGCATTTTTAATTAAACTTGGACTTGAACAAAGGTAGAAACCGCAAGCATCTCTTGCATCCAGCTGCTATTCTGAGTTGTGGGTTGGTTTGAGTGATATTTATCAACTGCTTTTGTTTTAACCAGATAATGATGATTCCGACATAGAGATCCAAGAGGATGAAGGATCCGATAGTGAAGTGGAAGACAGGCAGATCATGAAGCAGCGCACCGGCACAGAAGCACTACTGCAAGGTATCTTAACCTTTCCTTAGTTGCCCTTATTCAGAAGGATATGCTGGAATTATCTGAGTAACCTTAAATGTAAGAAGGCCCTGTTATCGTTCAAGGATGTTGGCACTGCTCAGTTCTTGTGACCTGTAAGAGGACAGTGTCTTATGGAGAAAACGTAGTGCTTTCAGGGGAGCAAATTAAGGAGTATTTGCTGAAAAAAGTATCATGTGAGGGAAATCCTTCCTTGGTATTGCCTTGCAGATTCTGAAGTAGCTTTATACAAAGCCTTAGAAAAGTAATGCTATTTCTTATTGCAAAGCATTTATTTCCCTTTAGCTGTTGACACTTGTTCCAGTAGAATCTTCTTCGAAAGGAGACCTTTAGCAAGTCCATAAAGCCACCTTGCACTGACACAGTCAGGGGTGCAACACACCTGAGTTATTTCTTTCAGGGGAGGACGTCTGGCTTCTGCCACCGTCCATGTGGAGTGGAACTGCAGCCTCTGGCTGCTGATTCCACCAGAGCCCTGGTCAGAAGCAACTCAGAGAAATTACTGTCTGAGGGTCTGTGTTTCACTGAGATGGAAAAAGAAATGTTCCGCTTAGTCTACAGTCAAGCAAAATGAAACCAGAAAATCAGGTTAGTTCTCCTTGGCGTTCTTGTTAGCAGTGAGTGATTCTGACCGTCAGCAAAAGCCTCTCTGGGATCGGGATGAAGTGCCTGGGTGGGTAATTTCATGTGCCACTACCTCTGCTGGAACCTGTTACTTAGAGAAACTGCAAATATGTGTTTTTTTCTGGGTTGAATTCTGCTTTCCCCTCTCTGACTGAGACTGAAGCAAGAAGCTGAAGTTCTCAAGTCAATATAATTCAAGCATTTTTATCCTCAGTTCCTCTGTTTTTCATAAGCCTTGAAAATTCTTGAAAAGCGCTAGAAACACTAATATTCACTAAGGATTTTTACATTGCAGATTCTTAAGGAAAGGTTTGCTTGCAGTTTTTAGAGCTTTGGAGGTGACTATGTAACTGTCTGTGATGCCTCATCTCGGAGGACGTTGTAACCTGGCGATGTGGGTACTGGCTGCAGCCAGAGTCAGCTCTTAATATCAGTTTTAGGAGCGAAAAGCTTTATTATAAAAGTTGTGGATTTTGTTGCAAGCAGAATTTTTTCTAGGAAGAGCTTTGTTATCATTAATTACACTTACTGGAGACTCAGCATTAGCTTGTCAGACTTAAAGCAAGCAGTTCAAATCCCTGAGGTGTTCTCTCTGCTGTGCTGTTTAGATTGCTTTCTATGCTTTTGTAGGTTTTTTTCTAGCGTTTAGTAAACGGCTTCTGGCAGATAATTATCCTCTGACTTTTGCATACTCTGAGCATGCTGTTTGCTGACTACACGGTCACCATCCCAGTCTTTACTCTCCTTATCTTATATACGTGTAAGTATCTTATATATGTGTAAGTATCTTATGTATGTGTAAGTTGGAAGCCTCCCTTAGCTCTCTGTCCTCTTTTTGCCTCTGACCTGCTGTGAAGTATTGAAGCAGCTCCAGGTACGTTAAATGGCTCCCGAGATGCCTTTCCTACAGGTCCTCCAGAGGAGTAGGGTTGTATTCCCCCATTCTAACTCACACCGCTTCAGTCCTACAGTGCTCCAGTGCAATCTCTGCTGGCAGAGATGGATACAAACATTGTTAGACTTCAGGGAAGGATGGTTGGCTCACTTTGCTAAAGTTACTCCTCATCGTCGTGGGCAAGTCGCCCAGTTGCTCTAGCTGTAGCTACACCGTGAGATTAACAGCGAGCACTTTGTCCATACCACCGGCTTTGGTTCAAAACGCCTACACTTTTCGTTTAGGAAAACTCAACCTTGGGATATCTCGGCTTCTGGTGTTAGAGTGAGCTTGCTCAGTCCTGCCCATTCTTATCTGTCCAGAACATACACGGCCTTTCAATACTTAAAGGGGGCTTAGAAGAAAGATGGGGACAAACTTCTTAGCAGGGCCAATAGTGACAGGACAAGGGGGGATGGTTTTAAACTGAAAGAGGGGAGATTCAACCTAGATACAAGGCAAAAATTTGTCACGCTGAGGGTGGTGAGGCAGTGGCAGGGGTTGCCCAGAGCGGTGGGAGATGCCCCATCCCTGGAAACCTTCAAGGCCCGGCTGGACGGGGCTCTGAGCACCCTGATGTGGTTGAAGCTGTCCCTGCCCATGGCAGGGGGATGGAGGGGATGGCCTGGAAAGGGCCCTGCCAGCCCAAAGCATCCTGTGGTTCTGTGATTCTATGCAAACAGAATCTTGGACTGTATCAAGACAGCAGTCAGGCCAAAGCTTTCCTTTGGGAGCTCCAGCCTGATCCAGAGTGCGTGCTTAAGTGACAAGCAGTTCTAGCCTTGAGAACAGGCTCAGATCTGCACCTCTGTCTGTGTAAATGGGCCCCTTTGGTCCAGGTCCCTCATCAATAGTAAGGTTATATGTTTGACTGCGTGACCCTCACCAACTGAAGTGCCAGAGACGTGCCAAGACCTGAGATTAATGTTAGGTGCCTCAGCTTCTTTAGAAAACCAGGCCTGAACATTCACTGGCTATTTGTCACACGAAGAATCTGTACATGTTCTTCATGTAGTTTGCATTTAACATGTAGTTTGCATTTAAAATATACTTAGTTATTAAAGCAGCATAACAAAAAACATTATTTGTATTAATTACGGTTTTTTTCCTTGACTCAATTCAAGATATTTCAATCACTTTCTTTTGAAGCTTTGTGTCTTCTTACATGGTGCTTCTCAGCCATGTTTGTTCTCAAACTAAGGAGAAATGATCCACTGTGGTCAGTTCCTGTAGCTGCTGTGATGCAGTTTTACATCTCTAATTTCCAGGTTATTAGGATTGTAAGACAAGACTTCTTTCCTCTGTCTGTAATAGGTGGGTAGGTATTCCAGTGTGTTTTGCCATTATAGAGGCAAGATTCTCAGGGAGAGATAATCTCTCTTATTAGGCCACTTGGTATAATTGAGAAAAATCAACACATTCACCCTCAAGAGTCCTTTCATCAGGTTTGTCTAGATGCAGCAAAATTCAAACTAAACGCAGCTTTGACTATTGCTCCTGGTTCTATTCCTTTAGCCAATTAAAAGACTTGAAGGTATAGGATTTAGCCTCCCGTGGAGCGGAAAAGAGTGTTAGCTGGGGGAGACGTGACAGGCTGCTAGCTCCTGTGGTACAGCGAGAAAATCGAACCCTTATTCCCCATATAGGAAGAGGAATAGGCAGTAGCAGGTTAAGAAGGAAGCTGTAATGCGCTATGCAGCTTGTATCTCCATTCAGGTCAGTGGTTCTGTCCTTCAACAGCACAGCAAAGCCAGCTTTAGGAAGCCGGGAAGGCTTCTGGATGAGAAGAGAGCGGGCATGGGGTGAAAATAAATGGCTAGGAAGACAGTCGCCAAACTGACAGATGCTGGCTTACTGGGTTTGTGGAACTACAACCTGTCTTGTTATCACAATTACAGGCAAGTCTCCTCCTTGATGGGGCTTATTATAATAAATCCATGTGTCACGAACCATTTGCTTTTGTAACTAAGAGAATACATTGATTTGTTGTCTGTAACTTTTAATTTGAACGTTGCCAGTGCGAATAAAAATTCACATGCACTTTATTCTCTCTGGCAATAGATAAGTGAGGCTGTTACAAATAAAATAGATGCGTGGACTTCCCTGAGGTCAAACCGTGAGTTAGTGAGGGCGTTTGGAATAAGACTCTTGCTTTGTCAGAGAACCAAAGAAAGAGAAAGTCTTGCAATGTTGAAGGTCTTAACCATCTGCAGCGTAGAGAAACCTCTTGCCTGAAACAGGCCATAAACCAGCAGTCTGCAGCAGGATGGTTGTTCACGCGCAGACGGGGTGGACTTCAGGGTGAAGAATGCAAAGCCTTGTCCTAGCAACGTAGAAGCTGCCACTCCAGGTCAGGCATGAGGTCCCTCTAGCCTGGTCTTCTGTCTCCAGCACTGGCTGAAAGAAAATCCCTGGGGAAGAGTGTAGGAACTTCCCTCAGGTTCCCTCCCGCTCCCCAACTGTTCTAACCCCCATCAGGATTTCCTGAGCTGGATGTGGTTTCCATGAATTTAGCATAACCCTCAGTAGATTTTTTTTTTCCTAAGAACCTTGCCAGTTTCCCCTTGAGCTAAAGTGGATTTTTTTCATCCACGCTCTCAAAAGTGGCAGATTTTGAAGCGATGTTGTGATTACACATGCAGGTCCATCTTTCCAGTCTCATTCAGACCAGAGTTCTGAAATGCGTTTTGGAATCATGAGCAAATACAGGATCTCTTCTCAGCAGTGGCACCAGCTGATGGCGTAGGCCGTGGCAGACCGGCACACCCTGTGCTCGCAACAAGGTAGGCAGTGGAAATGCTGCTGAATGAAGCAGAAATGATCCGCGCTTGCAGAACTGTGGGACTGTGCCTGTCTCTAGTAAATCACCCTCTATTCCACACTGCCAGGATCTTTAAGCTCCCGTAAACCAATTATCCGAACGCTTTAGCTCTTATGTTTCCTTCTGTAACGTCGGTGTTAAGGGGCGTTCTTGTCCTGTTTGGACCACAGAGACCATTTCACTGCTGAAGACAGTAACAACTCCAGCCCCATTTGGTCTTTATTGTAAGAAGGCGGCTTTCTAAAACCCTGAATGTTTTTCAGGAAACAAACAGTCCAAGGTCAAACAGTGAGAGAGCAGCTCTCTGGAAGCCTCTTACCTTTGCAGACCTGACCCAGAGGATCAATGCGGTAATGATGTGCTGGCAGCCAGGTCAGCGAGTGTGCTTGCTACCAAATGGATAAAACCTTTGTGAAAACCTGCACTGTTTAACATAGCAAGAACAAATAAGTCTCTGAATGCAGCAGATGAGAATAAAGGTGTTTTATTAAGACAGCAAAGTGTACCTCATCAGAGGAAGTTGAACCAAGCATGCGGCAATCAAACCGGAGGCGAGCGCAGGGGCAGACGGAGAGCGCGGTCCCGCGTCTC